ATTATTATGCATAGCTACACATTACCTTGTTGTCATGAAATAACTCATGAGCGGGAGACAGGAAATGTGTGACCACGAGGTAATAATGCATGGGCAAAAGACAGTTAATGCGTGGCCATGAGATAATAAAGCATGGGCACGAGATAATGCATGGGCACTAGACAGTTAATGTGTAGCCACAGAGAAATAACACGAGCATTAGACAGTTAATGCATGTCCACGAGTAAATAATGCATGGGCACAAGTCAGTTAATGTGTGGCCATAAGATAATAACACGTGGGTACTAGACAGTTAATGCATGTCCACAAGATAATTCAGCCAAATTAAGTGCCTGTTGCTCTGAGGTGTAATGTAAATGTAAAATAATGAAGTGCAAATACTGTTACTTATTGATTATTAATAATCATGAAAAATGCATGGGTGTTTTTTATTTAGTGTCAGCAGATGGGCTCTGTACTTTTGCATCGTTTTTTTTTTTTTTTTTTTTTTTTTTTTACTGTAACACACAATCACTGAAAAATACAAAGATGCAAGTCATCCAAATTTCTATTTTCTTGACTCACTTCCCCTTTGTGGGTCACAAGAGAGCTGGTGCTTTTCTTCAGATATAACTGTGTGAGAGACGGGGAACCCCAGAGACAAACAACCCTTTGCACCATAGGGACAGTTTAACATGCATGTTTTTGGTCTGCAGGACGTATTCGGAGAAAACCCACAAGGACACAGGGAGAACAAATCCTCCCACAAGGACCAGGGCGAACACATGACCTTCTTGCTGTTCCACCGTACCGCTAATGCCAGTCATCGTCAGGCAAATCTGTTCTGTTTTACAAAAACTCAGAATGCAAGTCGTCATCAAGAGAACAAATCTGAACCTGTCGTCAGCTCTTCATGCTGTAATATGGTTGTTAGTCAGACAGAAAGGCATGCTGGGAACTAATAACCCTGGTTCCTACTATGGGTGTGTACAACTTTTAACAGCAGCTCTATAAAACAAATGAGTCACCTTCATGTGACTTGAACTTCCCGGTGAGGGTTTTCTGATTAGAGGCAGCGCAGGTGGAGCAACTTCTCAAAAAACTCCTATTTTCCCCTAAAAGGCCTTAAACTGCAACACTGCATTTTCCTCTGGTTGTGTGGAGAAAAAAAAGAAGGAAAAAAGGGAAATAAGTTCACTCTCTTTATCTTAAAAATATCTACTAGCAATGAAAACTTTGTCATTTCCTTTCTGAGCATGAATCTTAACCTCTTACATCACTCATTCATACTCATCCTATGTTTAATTATCTTGGTGTTTTTGTTTTATGTTATGTTTTTCTGATTTTGCATAGATTCAAATAGTAAAACACGTAGATAAAATCACAGAAAATATTTGATTCTCTTTGTTGCTAACTTCAAATATTTACTTCTTTATTTCTTTCCAGGGCCGGCCCATGCCATAGGCAGTATAGGTAAGTGCTAAGGGTGCCGTCCATCTATGGGGTCGCCACAAATGGGGAACGAAAAAATTTTTTTTCTGTAGAATAATCACTGGTTACTCAGGTTTATGAAGGTAGCTTGTTCTGTGGGTTTTTCAGCTGTTTTGTTAGTACAGGGGGTTTTATATGGTGCAGAGGATATTGAGTGTAGCTGAACATTTAATAGAGATTTAGTAAATGTAAATGTAAGATTATTAAAACACGCCAAAGAAACCTGACCTGACAATCAAACACGTAATTTCGTCCTTAATTTAGGATGAACTCAGACTACTAATCTAAACTCAGTGTGCAAATAGAAAAAAAAATAAGGATAATAGAAGCTCCAGATATGAGCTCAGATAAAGTTCAGATTAAAGTCTGGTTTTCAGAGTTCCACCTTCATAAAATACTGATTTGATGCTGTTTTACAAATCCCAGGTAAATTAAGCAAAAATGTTCTTCAATTGGAAAATGTATATTTCTGAGTATATCTT